TACAGTGATCAATGCTAAAAAGAAAAAAAAAAAAAAAAAAAAAAAAAAAAGGACTGACCGTACTAATGGCACTCCACAAATCTGGCCTTTATGGAAGAGTGGCAAGAAGAAAGTCATTGTTGAAAGAAAGCCATAACAAATCCCGTTTGCAGTTTGCGAGAAGCCATGTGAGGGACACAGCAAACATATGGAAGAAGGTGTTGTAGTCAGTCAGATGAGACCAAAATTTAACTTTTTGGCCAAAAAGCAAAACGCTATGTGTGGTGGAAAACAAACACTGCACATCACCCTGAACACACCATTCCCGCCATGAAACATGGTGCTGGCATGATCATGTTGTGGGGATGCTTTTCTTCAGCTGGGACAGAGAAGCTGGTCAGAGTTGATAGGAAGATGGATGGAGCCAAATACAAAGCAATCTCACAAAAAAAAAACGGTTAGAGTCTGCAAAAGACTTGAGACTGGGGCAGAGGTTTACCTTCGAGCAGGACAATAACCCTAAACATACAGTCAGAGCTACAATGGAATGTTTTAGATCAAAGCATATTCTTGTGTTAGAATGACCCAGTCAAAGTCCAGACCTAACTCCAATTGAGAATATGTGTCAAGACTTGAAAAATGATGTTCACAGATGCTCTCCATCCAATCTGACAGAGTTTGAGCTATTATGCAAAGAAGAATGGGCAAAAATTTCACTCTAGATGTGCAAAGCTGGTGGAGACATACCCAAAAAGACTTGCAGCTGTAATTGTAGCAAAAGGTGGTTCTGCAAAGTATTGACTCAGGGGGGCTGAATATAAATGCATGCCACACTTTTCATATATTTGTAAAAAAGAAAAACATTTATCATTTTCTTTCCACTTCAAAATTATGTGGCACTTTGTGATGGTCTATCACAAAAAAATCCCAATAAAATACATTTATGTTTCTGGTTGTAACATGACAAAATGTGGAAAATTTCAAGGGGTTTGAATACTTTTTCAAAGGCACTGTATGCAAAAAATGAATGCATATATATATATATATATATATATATATATATATATATATATATATATGCATTTCTAATTTTATTAAGGTGAACTTAGCCTTTAATTTTAAACACAGTTTAAAACTAAAAAAAAATTGTGTCTTACAGTTTGTTAGACTGGTACCTTCCTACTACTTTCTGTTTACCTATCACTGAGAATTCACAGTGAAGAGAAAGGACTAACTAGATATTACTTTTCTTTATTCCTAGCATTGTCACAATTTGTTAAACAACTCACCAAGGAGTTATCACTAGTATAAGCCTTGAAGAGCTTGAACATTGCTTATTACAGGAATTTCACAATTTATTAAATGTATACCAGAATGGTTTTGGCTGTTAAAATAAGGCATAACATGGTATACTCCTACTTAAAAACTAGGCCTCATTAGACAAGACAAAAAGCGTTAATGAGTTTTGTGAATTAACTATCTTTAGAAAAAACATACTAACATGATATATCAATGAAATAATAGCCAATGAACAGAAAAACAACTTTGTGAATTTGCCCTAAATAACTGCCTTTATTCTTTTTTCAAACACAAGCTTTGAAGACAAACCATAAGCACATGGCTACAATTACAACTGTGGAGAAAAAAAAAAAAAAAAGATGCATAGAACTAATGTATACAGTGTTTAACTTTCTGTAGTACCAACAAAAAGAAGTTAAGTTTTAACAACCAGATAAACAGCTGACAACTAGAAGCATGCCTCATTTATGAAAACCATTCCCTACAATGTCCCACACACCCCTGATGGGGAAGAAGGGGTAAAATTCCTGGTGAATAATGAAGGGTCTAATGGCACATGTGGTGGATACTTTCGTAGCAAGGGTGCACCTCTGTATAGAAACCAATCAGCTTCCAGGTTTTATTGTCAAAGCGTATTGAACAAGCTGAAGTTAGAAGCGGATTGGCTAGCATGCACAAATGCACCAGATTTTGCACTCTCCAGTTTTAGTAAAGGAACCCGTGATTAAAAGCTCTATCTACCTAAATAGCCAATACAAGGAGGTACCACTCATCATTTCTTTCTTTGTACATTTTGCTTTACAGAAAATATAGTTGAAAGAACGAGGATGCTTCATTCAGTCATTGACTTCATAAATGTCACAGAAGATTGAAGACCTGGACACTTAGATAGATTCCATCGCAGGAGTCTCCAAAAAGATGCCAGCACGTGATTAAATGCACTACCATTCCCTGAATACTAAATACTAATACTAGTTTCAGGGTGAATTCACTCATTAAAACATATAGATATCCATTTTTACTTACACAAGCTATATGCTGTAGTTTACCGCTGGCACCAAAATGTAGTGTAATGCATCTGAGAGGACATATGGTATGCTAGACTGAAGGGCAGTCTTGTAGTTCTGCATTTCTACTAGAGCTGCCTGGCTAGCATAATCATTTGACATTTGAGATGGCAGTTGAAAACTGCTGTGAAATTCAGAGGAAAGACATGTTTCAGGTAAATGTGATAAAGGCAAATAAAAGCTGGAATTTTACAATAATGCACTGGTAAAATTAATTTGGTTAGCACATAGTTGGCATTTCTGGGAATATTTAAGACTGAGGTAATTATAAATGTAATGACATGTTTTATGACACTAAATTTTACACAAGCATCAAATTTATAAAAAAAAACTTTGCAATAATAGAAGCAAACAGTCACTCAATAGAAGTCAACAGTCAGCTATAGAAAGAAAAACAATATCTGTGTAAAACCGGACATATTTCTAAAGTAATATTTCATTAAAAAAAAAAAAGAACATTTATATTTTGAGTAATTACACTGATGCCTTACTTTAGGGAAACTTGTGTAAATATTGTGATTGAAAAATTAACATAAGCAAAGCCAAATAAGGGATTTTCCTGTACTTAGATTTAATTAGATGCGTTTCCTGCTATTCTATAATGTCCAACGCTTCACTGTTTTTGCAATATCTTAGTGCTCACTTGTGAATTAACAGTGTCATCTAAATTCCTGAAATATATACTAAGGGTATGATTGGCAGGTAATGGTGACCTATGCCAAGCATCTCCCAAACAGGTTAAAGTGTGCATGGTAGGCCAAATAATTCAGTTTACACATTGCATCCCAAACAAATAAGCAGTGTAATGCAGCTACCTAATACTTTCTATTGCTTTAGCTACAGGTGCATTGCAGCCTGGGCAGCGTGACCTTTACTGGATCTTTGATTTTTTTCCGCACTATTGTGAATACCAAAATTACTCAACAAACCTCTACTGTCTGGGAAGAAAGTGTTGGTAAAAGGTATTAAAGTTAAAGTGGAATTAAACCGAAAGCTTTATGGATAAAGTGAGGTAGGGTTTGACATGTAGCTACTTTTTTTTTTTTATATTAGGAGTTCCTGTAGTGGTGATTTACTGTACCTTCCCAATGACATAACAGTTTTCAATGGTAGAGAAAGAGAAAAGAGATTAAAATTTCAACAGTTGGCACTGCAACAGAAGGAAAGAGGAAATCTCTTAGTGGGGACAACTGTGATAGTTGTAAAACATAAGATTCCCCATTACTTTTTTCATTTTTGGTCATGTTTCTGGGTCAGAAAGTGCAGGAGAGTTTGCCCGATGGAGACACAGACTTCGATAAACAATCGAAGTTATGTAACACATTAACCACTTGCCCTCCTGAGGATTTACTCCCCTTCCTGACCAGGCCCTTTTTTTGCGTTACAGCTCTGCGTTACTTGAACTGGCAATTGCGAGATCATGCAACGCTGCACCTAAATTAAATTTACGTCCTCATTGAGCTTTCTTTTGGTGATATTCGATTCCCTGTGCATTTTTAATTTTTTGCGCTATAAAAAAAAAAAAAAAAAAAATCCGATAATTTTGCGAAAAAAAAAAAAAAAAAAAAAGATTTTTTGACTTTTTACTATTAAACATGTCCAGTAAAAAAATGTAATAAATCAAATTTCATCATAAATTTAGGTCAAAATGTATTCTGCTACATCGCTTGGCTAAAAACAAAATCCCAATATGTGTAAATTAATTGGTTTACATTTTACAAATTAATTAGCATTTACAAATGCGGTATGCTGGGATTTGTTTTTATTTTTACTAATGACGATGGCGATCAGCGACTTATAGCGGGACTGCGGTACAGCCATGAAAAGCAGTGTGCACGAGCTGACAGGGAGGAGAACTGTTTTGTTTACAAACAGTTCTCCTCCCGTAAGAGATGCTCGGCAATCACCAGGCGTGGGACCCGGTGAATACCAGCCGCATGCACGCCTTGCGTGTGCCCCCTACCCAGAAATGAAAAATCACGTATATACACATGTGATTTGCACACCCGTGCCACCCTGTAGAGATATATCTATCGGGAAGCGTTTAAGCAAGAACACATTTTCCTCGACAGAAATTATTTTTGAGTCGATGCAAATGATCCTGGGAAAGTTATGGTTACCAAACAAGAAATAACAAATGAAACAAAAGTATTTAAATATACATAACACAATAGTTTTAAATTAGCCAAAATAAAACAAAAAATACATTTCAATATTATCCTTTATAGCAGGGGTCCTCAAACTTTTTAAACAGGGGGACAGTTCACTGTCCCTCAGACCGTTGGAGGGCCGGACTATAGTTTAAAAAAAAAAACAAAAACAAAAAAAAAAAAACTATGAACAAATGCGGACACAGTACGGAGATGACCAGAGACTGCAGACATAGCACGGGAGATGACCAGCAGACTGCACGGACATAGCACGGGAGATGACCAGAGACTGCAGGCACAGTACGGGAGATGACCAGAGACTGCAGACACAGTACGGGAGGTGACCAGAGACTGCAGACATAGCACGGGAGGTGACCAGAGACTGCAGACATAGCACGGGAGGTGACCAGAGACTGCAGACACAGTACAGGAGATGACCAGAGACTGCAGACACAGTACATGAGATAGCCAGAGACTGCGGACATAGTACATGAGATGACCAGAGACTGCAGACATAGTACATGAGATGACCAGAGACTGCGGACACCGTACAGGAGATGACCAGAGACTGCTTAGACAGTACAGGAGATGACCAGAGACTGCGGACACAGTACATGAGATGACCAGAGACTGCAGACATAGTACATGAGATGACCAGAGACTGCGGACACCGTACAGGAGATGACCAGAGACTGCTTAGACAGTACAGGAGATGACCAGAGACTGCGGACACAGTATAGGGGATGACCAGAGACTGCGGACACAGTATAGGGGATGACCAGAGACTGCGGACACAGTATAGGGCAGTGGTGGCGAACCCGTGGCACGCGTGCCTCAGCCGGCACGCCGAGCCTTATCTGGGGGCACGCCAGGAGAATCCAGCGGCGCGCTGTCTTCCCGGCTGTAGTGTGCGTGACAGCCGGGTCCCAAGTGCGCATGCACAAGAAGCAGTGCTCCTTGTGAATGGTAAGGCGGTACCTGGGACACATGACAGATCCCAGAAGCCGCCGGACCAATCACAAAGCGCAGCGCTTCTCGCGCATGCGCACTGGGCATCCGGCTGTCCGACGAGCGCCCACACTACAGAAGCCGGAAAATAATAGAAGACAGCGTGCGGCTGGATCGAGGAACAGGTAAGATAAAAAAAAAAAAACTCTGCGGAAGTAAGAGCGGGTACCTGTCAAATTCAGGTACCCGCTCCCCCTCCCTCCCCAAAGGTCAGCAGTCATCCCTGTGCTGTGTCCCCAGTCTCTGGTCATCCCTGTGCTGTGTCCCCAGTCTCTGGTCATCCCTGTGCTGTGTCCCCAGTCTCTGGTCATCCCTGTGCTGTGTCCCCAGTCTCTGGTCATCCCTGTGCTGTGTCCCCAGTCTCTGGTCATCCCTGTGCTGTGTCCCCAGTCTCTGGTCATCCCTGTGCTGTGTCCCCAGTCTCTGGTCATCCCTGTGCTGTGTCCCCAGTCTCTGGTCATCCCTGTGCTGTGTCCCCAGTCTCTGGTCATCCCTGTGCTGTGTCCCAAGTCTCTGGTCATCCCTGTGCTGTGTCCCCAGTCTCTGGTCATCCCTGTGCTGTGTCCCCAGTCTCTGGTCATCCCTGTGCTGTGTCCCCAGTCTCTGGTCATCTCCTGTGCTGTGTCCGCAGTCTCTGGTCATCCCTGTACTGTGTCCGCAGTCTCTGGTCATCCCTGTACTGTGTCCGCAGTCTCTGGTCATCCCTGTACTGTGTCCGCAGTCTCTGGTCATCCCTGTACTGTGTCCGCAGTCTCTGGTCATCCCTGTACTATGTCCGCAGTCTCTGGTCATCTCCTGTACTGTGTCCGCAGTCTCTGGTCATCTCCTGTACTGTGTCCGCAGTCTCTGGTCATCTCCTGTACTGTGTCCGCAGTCTCTGGTCATCCCTGTACTGTGTCCGCAGTCTCTGGTCATCTCCTGTACTGTGTCCGCAGTCTCTGGTCATCCCTGTACTGTGTCCGCAGTCTCTGGTCATCCCTGTACTGTGTCCGCAGTCTCTGGTCATCCCTGTACTGTGTCCGCAGTCTCTGGGTCATCCCTGTACTATGTCCGCAGTCTCTGGTCATCTCCTGTACTGTGTCCGCAGTCTCTGGTCATCTCCTGTACTGTGTCCGCAGTCTCTGGTCATCTCCTGTACTGTGTCCGCAGTCTCTGGTCATCCCTGTACTGTGTCCGCAGTCTCTGGTCATCCCTGTACTGTGTCCGCAGTCTCTGGTCATCCCTGTACTGTGTCCGCAGTCTCTGGTCATCCCTGTACTGTGTCCGCAGTCTCTGGTCATCCCTGTACTGTGTCCGCAGTCTCTGGTCATCCCTGTACTGTGTCCGCAGTCTCTGGTCATCCCTGTACTGTGTCCGCAGTCTCTGGTCATCCCTGTACTGTCCGCAGTTCTGGTCATCCCTGTACTGTGTCCGCAGTCTCTGGTCATCCCTGTACTGTGTCCGCAGTCTCTGGTCATCCCTGTACTGTGTCTGCAGTCTCTGGTCATCCCTGTACTGTGTCTGCAGTCTCTGGTCATCCCTGTACTGTGTCTGCAGTCTCTGGTCATCCCTGTACTGTGTCCGCAGTCTCTGGTCATCCCTGTACTGTTAATTAGTTTGCACTACTGTACGAGTTGTTTTTTCTAAACCAAAAGCTCGATATTCAGGTTTCATTGCAGTGTTGGCACTTTGAAAGAAATAAGTTGGTTTTGGGTTGCAGTTTGGGCACTCGGGCTCAAAAAGGTTCGCCATCACTGGTATAGGGGATGACCAGAGACTGCGGACACAGTATAGGGGATGACCAGAGACTGCAGACACAGTACAGGGGATGACCAGAGACTGCAGACACAGTACAGGGGGATGACCAGAGACTGCAGACACAGTACAGGGGATGACCAGAGACTGCAGACACAGTACAGGGGATGACCAGAGACTGCAGACACAGTACAGGGGATGACCAGAGACTGCAGACACAGTACAGGGGATGACCAGAGACTGCAGACACAGTACAGGGGATGACCAGAGACTGCAGACACAGTACAGGGGATGACCAGAGACTGCAGACACAGTACAGGGGATGACCAGAGACTGCAGACACAGTACAGGGGATGACCAGAGACTGCAGACACAGTACAGGGGATGACCAGAGACTGCAGACACAGTACAGGGGATGACCAGAGACTGCAGACACAGTACAGGGGGATGACCAGAGACTGCAGACACAGTACAGGGGATGACCAGAGACTGCAGACACAGTACAGGGGATGACCAGAGACTGCAGACACAGTACAGGGGATGACCAGAGACTGCGGACATACAACGGCAGCGGGAATACTGGGCCGGCTGCTCCATAAGACGCACAGACATTTCCCCCAAAGTGTGTCTTATGGAGCGAAATAGTGCCCCATCATTGGTGTCAGTGGGAGGAATAGTGCCCCATCAATAATGTCAGTGGTGGGAGGAATAGTGCCCCACTGTTGGTGTCAGTGGTGGGAGGAATAGTGCCCCACTGTTGGTGTCAGTGGTGGGAGGAATAGTGCCCCACTGTTGGTGTCAGTGGTGGGAGGAATAGTGCCCCACTGTTGGTGTCAGTGGTGGGAGGAATAGTGCCCCACTGTTGGTGTCAGTGGTGGGAGGAATAGTGCCCCACTGTTGGTGTCAGTGGTGGGAGGAATAGTGCCCCACTGTTGGTGTCAGTGGTGGGGAGGAATAGTGCCCCACTGTTGGTGTCAGTGGTGGGAGGAATAGTGCCCCACTGTTGGTGTCAGTGGTGGGAGGAATAGTGCCCCACTGTTGGTGTCAGTGGTGGGAGGAATAGTGCCCCACTGTTGGTGTCAGTGGTGGGAGGAATAGTGCCCCACTGTTGGTGTCAGTGGTGGGAGGAATAGTGCCCCACTGTTGGTGTCAGTGGTGGGAGGAATAGTGCCCCACTGTTGGTGTCAGTGGTGGGAGGAATAGTGCCCCACTGTTGGTGTCAGTGGTGGGAGGAATAGTGCCCCACTGTTGGTGTCAGTGGTGGGAGGAATAGTGCCCCACTGTTGGTGTCAGTGGTGGGAGGAATAGTGCCCCACTGTTGGTGTCAGTGGTGGGAGGAATAGTGCCCCACTGTTGGTGTCAGTGGTGGGAGGATAGTGCCCCACTGTTGGTGTCAGTGGTGGGAGGAATAGTGCCCCACTGTTGGTGTCAGTGGTGGGAGGAATAGTGCCCCACTGTTGGTGTCAGTGGTGGGAGGAAATAGTGCCCCACTGTTGGTGTCAGTGGTGGGAGGATAGTGCCCCACTGTTGGTGTCAGTGGTGGGAGGAATAGTGCCCCACTGTTGGTGTCAGTGGTGGGAGGAATAGTGCCCCACTGTTGGTGTCAGTGGTGGGAGGAATAGTGCCCCACTGTTGGTGTCAGTGGTGGGAGGAATAGTGCCCCACTGTTGGTGTCAGTGGTGGGAGGAATAGTGCCCCACTGTTGGTGTCAGTGGTGGGAGGAATAGTGCCCCACTGTTGGTGTCAGTGGTGGGAGGAATAGTGCCCCACTGTTGTTGGTGTCAGTGGTGGGAGGAATAGTGCCCCACTGTTGGTGTCAGTGGTGGGAGGAATAGTGCCCCACTGTTGGTGTCAGTGGTGGAGGAATAGTGCCCACTGTTGGTGTCAGTGGTGGGAGGAATAGTGCCCCACTGTTGGTGTCAGTGGTGGGAGGAATAGTGCCCCACTGTTGGTGTCAGTGGTGGGAGGAATAGTGCCCCACTGTTGGTGTCAGTGGTGGGAGGAATAGTGCCCCACTGTTGGTGTCAGTGGTGGGAGGAATAGTGCCCCACTGTTGGTGTCAGTGGGGGGAGGAATAGTGCCCCACTGTTGGTGTCAGTGGTGGGAGGAATAGTGCCCCATGTTGGTGTCAGTGGTGGGAGGAATAGTGCCCCACTGTTGGTGTCAGTGGGGGGAGGAATAGTGCCCCACTGTTGGTGTCAGTGGTGGGAGGAATAGTGCCCCACTGTTGGTGTCAGTGGTGGGAGGAATAGTGCCCCACTGTTGGTGTCAGTGGTGGGAGGAATAGTGCCCCACTGTTGGTGTCAGTGGTGGGAGGAAATAGTGCCCCACTGTTGGTGTCAGTGGTGGGGGAGGAATAGTGCCCCACTGTTGGTGTCAGTGGTGGGAGGAATAGTGCCCCACTGTTGGTGTCAGTGGTGGGGGAGGAATAGTGCCCCATCGTTGGTGTCAGTGGGGGGAGGAATAGTGCCCCATCGTTGGTGTCAGTGGTGGGAGGAATAGTGCCCCATCATTGGTGTCAGTGGGGGAAGGGGAATAGTGTCCCATCGTTGGTGTCAGTGGGAGGAATAGTGCCCCATCGTTGGTGTCAGTGGGGGGGAGGAATAGTGCCCCATCGTTGGTGTCAGTGGGGGGGAGGAATAGTGCCCCATCGTTGGTGTCAGTGGGGGGGAGGAATAGTGCCCCATCGTTGGTGTCAGTGGGGGGGAGGAATAGTGCCCCATCGTTGGTGTCAGTGGGGGGAGGAATAGTGCCCCATCGTTGGTGTCAGTGGGGGGGAGGAATAGTGCCCCATCGTTGGTGTCAGTGGGGGGGAGGAATAGTGCCCCATCGTTGGTGTCAGTGGGGGGAGGAATAGTGCCCCATCGTTGGTGTCAGTGGGGGGGAGGAATAGTGCCCCATCGTTGGTGTCAGTGGGGGGGAGGAATAGTGCCCCATCGTTGGTGTCAGTGGGGGGGAGGAATAGTGCCCCATCGTTGGTGTCAGTGGGGGGGAGGAATAGTGCCCCATCGTTGGTGTCAGTGGGGGGGAGGAATAGTGCCCCATCGTTGGTGTCAGTGGGGGGGAGGAATAGTGCCCCATCGTTGGTGTCAGTGGGGGGGGGAATAGTGCCCCATCGTTGGTGTCAGTGGGGGGGAGGAATAGTGCCCCATCGTTGGTGTCAGTGGGGGGGAGGAATAGTGCCCCATCGTTGGGTGTCAGTGGGGGGGAGGAATAGTGCCCCATCGTTGGTGTCAGTGGGGGGGGAGGAATAGTGCCCCATCGTTGGTGTCAGTGGGGGGGAGGAATAGTGCCCCATCGTTGGTGTCAGTGGGGGGGAGGAATAGTGCCCCATCGTTGGTGTCAGTGGGGGGGAGGAATAGTGCCCCATCGTTGGTGTCAGTGGGGGGAGGAATAGTGCCCCATCGTTGGTGTCAGTGGGGGGGAGGAATAGTGCCCCATCGTTGGTGTCAGTGGGGGGGAGGAATAGTGCCCCATCGTTGGTGTCAGTGGGGGGGAGGAAATAGTGCCCCATCGTTGGTGTCAGTGGGGGGGAGGAATAGTGCCCCATCGTTGGTGTCAGTGGGGGGGAGGAATAGTGCCCCATCGTTGGTGTCAGTGGGGGGGAGGAATAGTGCCCCATCGTTGGTGTCAGTGGGGGGGGAGGAATAGTGCCCCATCGTTGGTGTCAGTGGGGGGGAGGAATAGTGCCCCATCGTTGGTGTCAGTGGGGGGGAGAGGAATAGTGCCCCATCGTTGGTGTCAGTGGGGGGGAGGAATAGTGCCCCATCGTTGGTGTCAGTGGGGGGGAGGAATAGTGCCCCATCGTTGGTGTCAGTGGGGGGGGAGGAATAGTGCCCCATCGTTGGTGTCAGTGGGGGGGAGGAATAGTGCCCCATCGTTGGTGTCAGTGGGGGGAGGAATAGTGCCCCATCGTTGGTGTCAGTGGGGGGGGAGGAATAGTGCCCCATCGTTGGTGTCAGTGGGGGGGAGGAATAGTGCCCCATCGTTGGTGTCAGTGGGGGGGGGAATAGTGCCCCATCGTTGGTGTCAGGGGGGGAGGAATAGTGCCCCATCGTTGGTGTCAGTGGGGGGGAGAATAGTGCCCCATCGTTGGTGTCAGTGGGGGGGAGGAATAGTGCCCCATCGTTGGTGTCAGTGGGGGGGGGGAATAGTGCCCCATCGTTGGTGTCAGGGGGGGGGGAATAGTGCCCCATCGTTGGTGTCAGTGGGGGGGAGGAATAGTGCCCCATCGTTGGTGTCAGTGGGGGGGAGGAATAGTGCCCCATCGTTGGTGTCAGTGGGGGGGGGGGAATAGTGCCCCATCGTTGGTGTCAGTGGGGGGGGAGGAATAGTGCCCCATCGTTGGTGTCAGTGGGGGGGGGGAATAGTGCCCCATCGTTGGTGTCAGTGGGGGGGAGGAATAGTGCCCCATCGTTGGTGTCAGTGGGGGGGAGGAATAGTGCCCCATCGTTGGTGTCAGTGGGGGGGGAGGAAATAGTGCCCCATCGTTGGTGTCAGTGGGGGGGGAGGAATAGTGCCCCATCGTTGGTGTCAGTGGGGGGGGGAATAGTGCCCCATCGTTGGTGTCAGTGGGGGGGAGGAATAGTGCCCCATCGTTGGTGTCAGTGGGGGGGAGGAATAGTGCCCCATCGTTGGTGTCAGTGGGGGGAGGAATAGTGCCCCATCGTTGGTGTCAGTGGGGGGGAGGAGAATAGTGCCCCATCGTTGGTGTCAGTGGGGGGAGAGGAATAGTGCCCCATCGTTGGTGTCAGTGGGGGGAGGAATAGTGCCCCATCGTTGGTGTCAGTGGGGGGGGAGGAATAGTGCCCCATCGTTGGTGTCAGTGGGGGGGAGGAATAGTGCCCCATCGTTGGTGTCAGTGGGGGGGAGGAATAGTGCCCCATCGTTGGTGTCAGTGGGGGGGAGGAAATAGTGCCCCATCGTTGGTGTCAGTGGGGGGGAGGAATAGTGCCCCATCGTTGGTGTCAGTGGGGGGGAGGAATAGTGCCCCATCGTTGGTGTCAGTGGGGGGGAGGAATAGTGCCCCATCGTTGGTGTCAGTGACACCAATGATGGGGCACTATTCCTCCCACTGACACCAATGACAC